ACAAGAGGCCTCTCAGCCTGCTTAGGAATTGTAATCCTTTTTTAAAAATCTCTGATCTGTTTAAGCTTTTGTTAGGGGAAGTTCAAGTCACAAGACTGGGGTCCCCAGGTTTCTTCTGGATTATCCCTGCAAATTCTCCTGGAAGAATTTGAACAAACACTACACATGGACTATGTATTGGACTGTAACCTATCAAGTTGATTCTGGAAGGACTTTAATAAATCAGCAGCCCCACCATCTCTGCTATAAAACTGACCTGAGAACTTTGTTTATATCTGTATATATAATAACATTTAACCACAGTAACCCTTTTAGATGTGGTTAATAAGAATTGGCTGCAAGAGTGTATTTGGATAAGATCTGAAGTACTCATTGATCTGGTGGGTAGTGTGTCTGACCCCTTGGGGTTAGTAGAATGTTATATACGGCGAATAAAGTTTAAATAACCCTCACGATACAGGGTTGCTTAAAGGGAACTGTACTTTAACTTCTTGGTAACCAGTGAGGTATTACAGAAGCTGTTTTGTTACTGGCTTGGTGAATTTAATCATCAGAATAAAGCACCCGTTTGGGGATCCTTTGCCCCATTCGTTGTAGTTTGCCCTCATTAAGCATTCTCAGTATAGCCCCTCTGGTGACAACAGTCACAATGGTGCTTTGTGAACTGATGAACATCTTGGGGGAGAACAAAAATGCACCTGTTATGGCACAAAGCTTTTCTCCTTCCTTGGTTAGTACTTCTCTGACAGCAGCACCTAGCCCGGCTCCACTGCAGTAGGCACCGTTGTTAGGGCTAGCCCCGCCCGAAAGCGCCCACAGTCTCTGTAGCTAAAAGGTGAGCGGGGAGCTAGAGATGTGAAGCAGCTGCTGATGGTCAGTAATAGACCTGAGATTAGAAGCCCAGATGCCTGACTCATCTCCAGGACTTTAGCCATGTCAACGCCTTGCCTTTACAGAGCTAAATTGTTGACGAGAGGTTTGGTTTTACATTTTGTGCTCTCTGCCAAATGCCCGGCATACTGTAAGACAGCCTCTCTCAGAAGACTTCTGATTTGGGTCTGAGGCCTCTACTGCACTGTGAACCAGAAAGACTTTCTCTGAGATCAAGAGCAAGTGAAATTGGAATCAGGTTCCTGGAGTTTTCAAAACCAGGTCAGATGCTTCAAATAGTTTTCCAAACATCGAATTTAGATAAGCACCTACCACGGATGCACTGGAGGTTTGTCCGTCTCTCCAGTTCCTCTTTTCCCATCCCAAAAATGTCTCCTTTCAAAGAACGGGAAGATCCGGCATCTCCTTCCAAGCAGCTAATGAAATCCTGATTTTCACTAACTCAAGGGAGAGCTTCAGCAGGTTATGAGAAAACTTCTCACCCCCCACTTTTACTAGCAAGGACTGTGGTGTACTTGTTTGAACGAGCTCCTGAGACTCAGCTAGCTATACTGGGTTTTAGTTCCATCTCTGCTAGTGATTGCCTATGTGGCCTAGGACAAGGCACTCAATCTCTCAGAAATGTGATGTGCATTAACCACAAGATCTTTGGAGGAGTTTCCTATGGGCCTGATAGGGTTTCCCAGGCTTAAGAACATAAGGATGGCCATACTGGGTCAGACCAAAGGTCCATCTAGCCCAGTATCCTGTCTGCTGACAGTGGCCAATATCAGATGCCCCAGAGGGAGGGAACGCAATAGGTAATCCTCACGTGATCCCTCCCCTGCCTCCCATTTACAGACAAACTGAGGTTAGGGGCACATTCCTACCCAATAGCCATTGATGGACCTAACCTCCATGAATCTATCTAGGCATATGTCTACACTAGCCCCCAGTTCAAACTAGGGAGGTTAATGTAAGCATTCAAAGTTGCAAATCAAGCCCAGGATGTAAATATCCCGCGCTTGATTTGCATCTTCCCGGCTGGTCTCCATTTTTGAAATTTACAAGTCTGGACTAACTGCCCGTGTCTACATGCAGCAGGGACCCGGTAGTTCGAATTAAAGCCCCTAAATTGAACTACCTGTTAAACCTCATTCCAGGAAAAATAACAGGTAGTTCGAACTAGGGCTTTAATTCGAACTACCGGCTCCCTGCCAAGTGTAGACACAGGCAGGTAGTCTGGGCTTGTAAATTTCAAAAATGGCGCCTGACCAGGAAGATGCAAATCAAGCGTGGGATATTTAAATCCCGGGCTTGATTTGCAACTTCAAATGCCTACATTAGCCTCCCTAGTTTGAACTAGGGGGCTAGTGTAGACATACCCTAGCTCTTTTTTGAACCCTGTTAAAGTCCTAACCTTCATCACATCCTCTGGCAAGGAGTTCCACAGGTTGACTGTGCGCTGCATGCAGAAAAACTTCTTTTGGTTTATTTTAAACCTGCTGCCTATTAATTTCATCTGGTGACCCCCAGTTCTTATATTGTGGGAATAATTAAATAACATTTACTTATTCACCTTTTCCATACCCAGTCTTGATTTTATAGACCTCTATCCTATCCCCTCTTAGTCTCCTCTTTTCTAACCTGAAAATTCCAAGTCTCTTTAATCTCTCGTACATTGGTGTCATTCCCTTGATTTCAATGCAATGGAAGGAGCATAAAACTAGAGTAAGACAACGGGACATTAGGTTCCCTAGGAGCAAAAAGCCTGTAGTGTTATTGATGGATGAGGATACATTTGAAAGACATCTGTGGATCGGAAGGGTGGGTAGTAATAAACCCAGGCAAAAAAAAGTGGTGGTGTTCTTCGAGAAGAAGCGAGCTTCTAAGAATGCTACAGATATTCTGAGTGCAGGTCCCCTGCATTTTTCAGAGGAAGGAAGCACTGAGTAATTGCATGGGCTAAGAAGCGATATTGTCCCTCATGATGTGCTGCAGGCTTATTGGAGACAACTGTCAGCAGTAAGTGTGGTAGAATTCAGGTCATGCTGGGAGACCGGCAGTGTGGAGCTGTGGATAAGTCTGAAACTGGGAGAATGGATTCAGCTGACTTGATGGAACTTGAGCAAGTCCCTTTCTCCTTCTGTTGCTCATTTTCTCCATCTGTTGCTTGCTTCCTGTGTCAAATGCTTTGAAATCAACAGAAGAAGAGATTCTGGTATTGTGTGCCTAGCTTCAAAGGGCTGTCTATTTTCCATCAATAGGCAGCAGGAAGCATATTTATTAGGGGAATTTTTCTATCCCTTCCTTCAAAGGCCGAGATTGTAAGCGATCAAACCAAGACGTTATCCATCAACCATAACATGACAGGAGATG